GTGGGCAGTTTGTTTCTGAGGTCAGCAGAGAAGAGGGGACTTATATCAGCCCTGATGCTAACACAGAGCAGAATAACCCTTCATCAAGACGTTTGTTCTCTTTCCTGGCCCAGAGTGCCTCCCAGCCCCCGCTGCAGAACTCACAGCAGAACCAAAACCACCATGGATTGGTTCGTCTTTTTCTGGTTATCGCAGCCTTCTTCCTCTGCTGGACACCTTACATGGGCATGGCCCTGATTCAGGCCACAGAAACTGCAATATCAGGCCAGTCCAACCTCGTCCCCCCCACTGCGGTCACCTTTTCGTACTGGCTGGTGCTGCTGAACTCTGACATTAACCCACTGCTGTACGCTCTGCTCAGCCAACGCTTCCAGGGCGCTCTTCAGGGACTGAGGCAAAAAGTAAGAGCCCGATTGGGAAGTGTGGTGGGCAGGGGAGGAGGGGTCAGGGCAGAGGGGGAGGACGGCAGGAGCAGCGACCCCTGCACTCTGTCCACTATCCATCCTGGTCCAACTTCCAGCTCTGGTGATGACTCCAATTATTCTTCTGTTTTCACTGTCTGCACTGACTTCAAACATCCCTCAGAAGAGCATCCATGCAAAGTGTGTCACCCTGAAAATACCCTTCCTTGTTGCTCTGTGTGGCAAGGTGCTGGTGGGGAGGGGAGGGTGGACTGCCTGCAGGTCCCCTCTCGGCCACAAGAGGGCAGCAGATTACCGTACTCCGCTCTAACCAAGGAGCGGCAGGCCACTTTCTTCTACGGACAGATTACAGTCAGAGTGGAGCATGATGTTTGTTAGAGTTAAAAACGCTGATGCTGTTCAACAATTACATATTTTTCTAAGTCAACTGTCAAATCATTCGGGCAATAAAATGTGACCATTTTTGAAAATGTTACATCTATGATTTTTTTGACATTTTTTCTAAATAAAAGAATATTGGTTAATGGGTTATGAAAATAGTAGCTTATTATTTTTCTGTAATTCACCAAAATGATTAATCACTGAATTCAGATGGAAAAACAATATCAAAAGGTATATTTAAATGTATAATGTTTTCTGCTCAACATTCAGAAACCCCAAAAGTTTAAGTTTGCTATCAGAGAATGAAAAGATGCACATTTACCCCATGTAAAAGCTAAATTCAGCTTATTTTTGTATTTTGCATTGAAATATGATGACAATCATCAAAATTGGTTTATATTGATTATTTAATCGGCTAATCGTTTGTGCTTCATTACTTCAAATATAACTTGTCATGTTGCCTTTGAACATTACTAGTGATCTGTAAGCACAGTATTACAACACTCCTGAGAAAACAAACCTGGACAGTGAAATGTATTGAAAAGAAATATTTTATATAGTACATGTGATTACACTTGAAGACACTCAACATTAGATTCAATTAACCCATCATTTATTGACGCTCTAGATATTTCTTCCTCAAATGTGATAATCATATGTTGCATCTCAGTGTAAAATGTATCATTCCTTACAAAGGTTTACATTAATGTCTAGCAATAATTCCAGAGGAATACAATATTATTAATTATTGTCATAGAGCATGACAATGGGAAACAGTGCTAATGCATTGTATTGCAAAACAGAAAAGGCAGTGAAGTGGACTTCAGCTGTATCTGCTTATACACTATGTGCATGCTCGTCCTGCAGATTTTACCCACTGTCCCCTCAACGTAAGTGCAACAAAAATATAAAAAGTCCTGTTCGATGAGTCAAGAGTTTGCTCCAAAAAAAACTGAGATGGGTACAAGAAGGGTAGTAATAAAGAGTCTCTCTGCAGTGGTCAGTGATGGTGCTGTAGAAAGTAGATGGCACGTAGCGAGCATGTGTGGACGAGTGATGTTCATACATTCACAAGAAGGCAGAGGTTCCACCAGTCGCTTTACAAGGTGTGTGCCTCGGTCGCTCTGCGGTTTATCTCGCCTCAGAAGTGTGATTGATGGATACAGATACAACATTTAATTTTTGAAAGAGCAGAGGTGGACAAAAAAGGGAGCCATTGTCATGTGTCAGCACACCTCTCCATAAACCACATTGAGACAGTTTTCATCTGTCTGTTATTTTCAGAGTTTTCTATAAAATGTCACAATGAAATAATAATTGTCGTCGATTAGTTTATGTGCATATACGTCTGGAAATGTGATATGAATTCAAAGGGAGGCTAAGTGATAGCTATGGTTGGCGTTCAGAGTTATTAAAAGGGTAATTCTAAGGGGGAGTCTTGTTTTATATATATATTATAAGCTGTTAGTGCTTTTAGTCCATCCAAAGATAAGTAGGCTACCTGAAGCATTCATTGTGAAAATAGGACAGTTAATAGTTTGAACAGCTAATAGACGGTTCGAAAAACACATCTGAATATTATTTGGATGCCAGTACATGTCCTGTAAATACATGTGTATTGCTTGATTAGTAAACTGTTTATTGTCAGTAACTCTGCAACAGAAAATGCAAAGCAGGTGCTTTATGGATGGACTGAAAGCACAAAGATGAACCATCTAACCCAGGGATGGCAAACATACGGCCCGCGGGCCGGATCCGGCCCGGGAAGCATTTCAGCTTAGCCCACGGAGCTCAAGGACTTTGCTAAGTAGGCTGTGAGAGGAGGAAAAAAAAACTGCTATTTTGAATCCTTCCACTAGTGGGCGCACTACCGCACCGGTACCAGTGAGAGCGCAGCCAGACTGTCAAACAAGTGATGAGTAAGAGTAGTGATTGCAGTCAATAACCTCTGACACCCTCATCCCCAAATGTCTCTGTCAAAAAAGAGAAAAGTGGACACGGAGTGCCGAGTTTTCCAAGAAAAATGGACTGCATCCTATTTTTTTACAGAGGTAAATGGAAAACCTGTATGCTTGGTGTGTTCGCAGCAAGTTGCTGTGCTCAAAAAATATAATATTCGCCGCCATTATGAGACTCACCATGGAGAGAAATACGACTGCTTGCAAGGACAACGGAGAAAAGAAAAGATAAATGACCTGCTATCAGGTCTAAAGAAACAACAGGCCGTTTTTACCCGCAGCCGAGATATAAGTGACGCAGCAGTGAAAGCCAGCTATCTCATCGCTAACGAAATAGCATCAGCCTCAAAGCCATACTCTGAGGGTGAGTTTGTGAAAACATGCATGCTGAAGGCTGCAGAAATTATGTGCCCTGAGAAGCGACAGGCTTTTGCCAACATTAGTCTAACGAGGAATACAGTGAAGGATAGGATTGCCGATCTTTCAGCAGATTTGGATAGCCAGAAAAAAACAAAAGTCAAGTCATTCGTAGCATTTTCAGTTGCAATCGATGAGAGCACTGACATTACAGATGTTGCTCAACTGGCCATATTCATTCGTGGTGTTGATGAGACTTTAACGGTCACCGAAGAGTTCCTTGAGTTGGTTCCTATGACAGACACCACTGAAGCGGATGACATTTTTAGCGCTCTCGTTGAAGCACTGGACAGGGTTGGAGTGGACTGGACCTGTGCTGTCAGTCTGGCTACAGACGGCGCGCCATCAATGATTGGGAAAAAAGCAGGTGTTGCAACGAAATTCAGGGAGAAAGTACAAGCAGCAAATGGAGGAGATCGTTTTTGGACATTCCACTGTATTTTGCACCAGGAGGCATTGTGTTGCAAGTCGTTCAAAATGGATCACGTCATGAAAGTGGTTGTCCAAACGGTTAATTTCATCCGAGCCAGAGGGCTGAATCACCGTCAGTTCGACAGCCTCCTCAGTGATAAAGACATCACCTGTAGCCTACCATATCACACTGAAGTAAGGTGGTTGAGCCGAGGTGCCGTGCTGAAGCGTTTTTCTGATCTACGCGAGGAAATTGGACAGTTCATGGAGAAAAAGGGTAAGCCAGTGCATGAATTAAAAAACCCAGAATGGCTGCAGGACCTTGCATTTATGGTGGATATTTCAGAGCACTTGAATAATCTGAACATAACGATGCAAGGTCGCAAAAAAGTTGTCACAGAATATTATGACAGCATACGCGCATTTAAGTTGAAGCTGGCTTTGTAGGAGACACAGCTGTCAAGTGGTGACCCTGCTCATTTCCCTCATCTAAGAAATGTGCATATGACCGGAGTTACTGCTGACATGAGACGGTACAAAAACAAAATTACGGAATTGCTGCGGGAGTTTGAGCGGAGGTTTCAGGTCTTTGGTGAGCTTGAGACAGAGTTTGCAGTTTTTCGCTCGCCATTTGCAGTTAAGGCTGCGGATCTGCCCGTCGACATACAACTTGAGATAATCGATTTACAATGTGATCAGGATTTAAAGGACAAATTTGCCTCGTCGGACTTGGGCACATTTTATCGGTATCTTTTGCCAGGATACCCCAAATTGACAGCCCTGGCAGCAACGGTTTTGAGCATGTTTGGGACCACCTACCTTTGTGAACAGGTTTTCTCTGTAATGAATATTACTAAAACAAAGCTGCGCTCAAGACTCACACACAAGTGCCTGAATGAAATAATTAAATTGGCTGCTAAGTCAGGATTTTAAGCCTGATATTGATGCCCTTGTGAGGGCTAAAAGATGTCAAGTTTCAGGAGCAAATTAATCAGTTCTGTGACCTCAGTTCTGTGAAAATAAGAACCTACTGAAATATTTGAAAATGTTATATTATTCTGTCACTGAACATTGTGTATTATAATGTCAATCAGCAGCTTCAATAGGCAAAAAAAAGTTTGATTTGATGTGACACTGTGGCTGCACTGCCAATATAAAAATTCTATATTTTCAAGGCAAGGGAGGTAACTCAAACTCCTCACTTAATAGCTCCCACGTTTTTATTTGCATTTTGTGGTGAGTCAGTTCAGGTGGAAACTGTGATCTGTTGTAAAGAACATGTGTGTAGCACTTGAAATTGCACTTGTTTGTCTTAATACAGTACATTTCAGTTTGTTCATAACGTTTTGCGTCTCATTACATGTGGACATTTTCCGAATACTTGTAGCTACTTATTTGACTTAAATTTGACTTAAACAGAAATATTGTCGTTATGTAGGGCCTGTGGGTTATTATGCTATGATGTTACTGGTCCGGCCCACTTTAGATCAAAGTGGGCAGTATGTGGCCCCTTAACTGAAATGAGTTTGCCACCCCTACCCATTAAAAACTGTTTTTTGATCTCTCGTGCCTTAACTGTGGGCCTGAGCAATGAGTGTCAGCTTTGACAGAGTAGGGGTTAGCCCCAGGAAAGCATATGACCACAGGGGGCCAATCAGTGTGGTTAAATCGGACCTGACCTCTTTTCTCAGGATGAACAGAGACACACTTCTTCTCTGTCTCAGATTGATCCTCAGGTTTTCAGACAGGTCCTCTCAAACCAGATGAGCCCATTGGGTCCACAGCTCACCGACATGAACGGTGTGACACAGCTATGTACAGTGCACCAAAGGCAGGTATTTGTCATAGAGTTTACACACAGTTTGCCTCACTTTTTGTTTTCAGCATTTTAGGCATTCTTCTTTGGATCTCAAAGGTGTGTAAATGTTAAAGACAGCAAGTCCACACGGTGTTAGGCCTGCCTCCAAAAAGGTTGCTTTTTTGCTCGGAACTGATAATATCAGGCAAGTTGGCAAGTCTTCCCAGGTGCAAGGATGTAGAGAATCCATGGATTGATTAAGAGGTACAGCCAAATTAATACATGACTTAATCAGTTATACCTGATAATCTTTTGGGTTACAATAAACATTGTCCATGCACCAACTTTGACAACTCGTGAGTGGAAAGGACATTAAATGAATGATTCTCACATTCCTGCATCTCCCCCCTTGACCGAAGTGTTACTGATCAGAGGGCAGTCTAAAACACTTTTTTCCATCCAGGGAGCTTCATGAAAAAGAGGGCAGATCAAATATCCTGACGTCTTCAATGTGCAAATGTTGACATGGAGGTCCTGGCTCTCCCTCTCCAGTTGAGCCCGGTGGTGGCGCCCGCCTCAGCGCTGCCCTCTGCTGGCTCGTCTCTCTTGCGCAGCTTCGTGCTGAGCTGGATGATGCACTGGTCCCAGTCCTCCGGTAGCAGCAGCATGAGGAACCCCAGGCAGATGATGAACACAGCAATGAGGCGCACTGTGTTGAAATTAATTTCACATGTGTGGAGGTCCACCACTGTAAAAGGAGAAGCACGTGTCAGTACGAACATATGAAGAAATGTATATCCATTGTTCTTTTTATACACTTTTATAAAGTTATGGTTACAGACTCTCTTAACCTCACTAAACTTAAAAACATTTTAAGAAATAAATTAGATGAATTGGTAAGAAGAGACAGCACCAAAAACAACAAAGATAAATATGACTGAAAGCCTTTTATTCCTTCACATTTTCTACGGATATTGCATTAATATGGTTATCGTTAATTATTTGGGCCACAATAATTGTGTAGTCAAAGTCTGATACTTTGATACCAATAACTTTAACTAACAAACAATAATCGATTGAAATAATGTCAACAATGCATATGCAGAAGGGGAATGTCAATCACCATGAATAATGTGTTTTTCACAGAAAATATTACAGTTTACAATAATAAGAAAACAAATGTGAATAAGTTCTACTCTCCACCAAATATAGATGATACATTTTAGTGTGATTTCCTTTCTTTTTAAAATGGTGGCTGGTTTTAAAAAGTTAAGTCTGGGAGAAGAGCCAAGAGACTTACTGGCATTTACAGGAACACTTAGGACGATGCCAAGAGATATTAATGTTGGGTATGTTATCGCGACGCCAAAGTTCAACAGGACGTTGAAAGCTGTGGGAAGAAGCACAGAGTAGCAGCAGACAACAACATTAGCTTATGAAATCATAAAACTTTCAAAAGGATATTTATGGGTTGCATAATCATTGCAGTATAAGATGTGTGCTTCATATGTCATCTTTCCGTACCAAACATCAGGCCTGCAACCCCGCAGAAGCAAGCCCAGGGGATCTCTCCAGGTGAGTCAATGTACTCCACGTGAGTGAAATACAGGATGAGCGGCACGAAGCTGATGAAAACAAAGTTGGCGCTTCCAACGATGCTAAGAAAGAGTGCAGCCTCTCCGAATTTGGCACTGCCCAGGACCATCTTGAAGAGCACCTGAGGACATCAAGGGAGGAGGGTCATGAATGCATTGAATCCGCCCCCTTTAAGAGCAGAGGGATATTGCAGAGGGGTGCGCCTGCCAACTAGCTGCCATGTTTTCTGGCAGCGGGCCGCGGCTGTCTGTTTATCACATTAGGCAACACGGACAGAAGGGCAGAGGAGACCAGAGCTCTGTCAAAATATATCTGACCCGAAACATCTTTGATCGGAACATAGCAGCCCAAGGCCGGCAACCAAACGCTCACATAACACCAGTTCTTTCATCTGAGCCTTATTTCATAATCCCCTCCTGTCTTCTGCCACCTGGTTACATAAGCAGCAGGGAGCTAGTCCAGGATGTCTTATATAAGACATCACTATTCATACATACGTTTAGCGATTTATACATGTTTTGAACCATTGCAAATAAAGGCGAGGTTTATGGACGGACATAAGGTTAGTGTCTTTACAAAGAAATACCTTATATAGGGCTGACATCGAAGCAGAGGCCACGACCAACGTGATGCCGATGACCGAGTGGCTGTGGAATCCATCAGCGTAGGTCATCATCACAATGCCTGCTATGGCCAAGATAGCAGCTACTATCTGTGGAGAGGAGGAGGAACATCAGCGGATGACGGATGGGCAACACGCTGCTCGCAGTGAGGCGATAAAGACGCCCGAGCCTTTATCGCCGTGCAGGAACACAGCAGGCACACATGGCACATTGTGAATCACTGCAGAAGCATCACGGGACAAGGCTCATAATGATATAATTCGTTTTTATTTTATAGTCATCAGCAGACTGCTCATTTGGTGTTTACAGTGGCGGAATAATAGTACATAGAGTACAGAGTATTTCTATTCAATGCTACTTAATACTTGAACTCCAATTACAGTCTGAAGAATATATACTTTTTACACCACAAAATTGACACATTTAAGTTATTAGATGAAGCCAGGTTAAAAAGTAAAATGTTTTAACAGAGAGAATTTCTCTTTGTACCAGGAATCAGAAAATCCTGTCAATGGCAAACAGAAATTATAGTTTTTTTTAGAATTAAACGTTATATAAAATCAGGCTATGATTAATATATGAGCAGACCCCTCTGTAAAAACCTTTAAAATATAGATAGGGATGAACCTGGAGAGGTTGGTGTATGTAAGAGCTACTGAATTAAATGTTCCATTTTTTATTTTTAATGTAATGGATTTTTTTTTTGTATGCATACTGTATTGATATTTTAGCAGAGGATCATCTTCCACCTCTGAACAGAGCAAGCGTTCCAACACAGGACAGGCAGCTTCTGTAGTGTTGATTGTCTGCCATTGATTTTTGCTACACTGCCATCATGTTTACAGACCAATCCCCCCCACTTGATCCACCCCCCCNCCCCCCCCTCTCACGCCCACTTCCCGCTCCTTGCCTCTGAGATTGTCAGACCATCCAAACATCACCAGAGCATCAGTTTCATCTCGCTCTCAATCAGCCTTGAAGAATACAGACCAAAATCGTTCAACTATTAAACTTAGAGCATTTGTCTTTGAATGTGTGTGTGTTCGGCTAAAGAACAGCGTAAGGGACATTCCACAGACCAGTGTATTAGCCCTGCGTTAAAGAGGTGTCAGGAAGATAAATGAGCCGTGTGTTTTTGCTTTGCAAAAGTCCTTGGGCACCTCTGGAACAATGGCTCTTTCTGCAAGGCATGCTGCCCCGTCAGTCAGTGCTTCACTTCCATTTCCTGTGAAGGGTACTTACAAGGTCAGCGCCCTCCATGTGAAAGTGCTTTAGTTTCTTGAAATGTTTCAGCACAATGTGAGGGTCAAAGGGGGGAAAAAACATTACGACACCTGCTCATTGAGATAGGATTTGTATTGGTGTAGTAATAATTACTAGGTTGAATCCTCTTATCCCTCCTTTACAACTGATACATCCAAATTCATGGCACACATCAGCTCAAAAGCTCTTTTATTAGTTTCATGACCTTCATCATGACTTTGCCTCCAAACACAGACATCTTTATTTGTTTATATCACTTAAACAATTTAATATCGCTGTTTATTAAAGATGATTTAGTATCCCCCGTCTTTCTCTCTCCCCTCCTTCACTTTCATGACAAAGTCGTCCAAGATCCCCTGCATTGCTGCAGACATTCAAACACCGCAATCCCCACCACCAAGATGGAGAGGGAGGGAGAGAGAGAGAGAAGCTGGGGGTGTGAGAGAGCGAGAAGCAGGATTATAACAGTACTTGTCTCTTACTGAGGCCTTTCATCGCAGATAATGGGGGTGGGGAGTTGGGGCACGCACGAGGGAGAGCCGGGGTGGTGAGTGAGTATAAAGGAGAAAAAAAAGAGGGGAAAGCCATTCTGCAGGACGGCTGCAGATATGAAAACATCTGAGGGGGCGGAGAGAGCGGGAGATTCCTCAATCCATAAAAGCTAAACCCTCACTCCTCTGCTTCTTTCTAGCAATCCAGACACAATCAGTGACAAACACACTCAGGAGGAACATTTGAATGACACAGCGATCACTGGTGGGAAATCACGTTGTCACACAGGTAACATGCTCTCTACTGGACCGTAGTGTGTTCGGTCAGAAGAACAAAATTGTTTTCAACCCTTTGGGAGCTAAATACACGGAGGTCTTGGCATTACAAGTGATCTTTAGTTAAAAATAGAGTTGATAGATACACAACATTTGAATCCAGACTCCACCATTAATGCCTAGAGGAAATTCTGGACCTCTTTCTGAGAGGCACGATAAGAAGCCTTAAGGCAAATGAAGGTCATCTCGTCCTATCCAGCATACAGCAAGCCTTTACCTGACAATTTAGTAGGTTATTGGACAATATTGACTCATCAAAGATTTAATGCAAATAATAATAGAAGCACAGACACATACACAACAATATTCAATTCAATTGTCTATGTTGATGGTCATGACCTTTCCAATGTGTCATTAGATTAACTTGAGGGTTGACTAGGCGATTAGGCGAAAAAGTCGATATTTGGTTGACATACTGTACATTTAAAAATAAATACGATATTGTGGCACTGGCCACGCTTAAATCCCAGCCATGTTTGAGACTTTTATTGTTAGGGAAAGCAAGGATGATCAGACACTCAATTAAAATATATTATCACTTCCTGTTGTAGCCATTACATTATACAAATGACTGTCTTTACAGTTGCTTGTTTTGTTTTTTATTATGTTGTTTATTACGGGTAGAGGTGATGCCAGGAGAGCAAAACATGTTTAACTTGCTGTTTTTGACCTTTGCTTGACTCTATATACACACAAATACAGGCAGGTGTACTCACCCTGACCCCCATGAAGCGGTCTCTAAGTACAATCCAAGACAGCAGGAAGACGAAGGCCTTGTTACAACAGAAGAGCGCCGAGGCGTCTGTTGTGTTGATCTTCCTGAGGGCCTGCAGGTACAGGTAGTTGGTGAGGATCCACAGCAGGCCAAAGGGAGCCACCTTGGTGAAAAACACCTTGGGTGTAAGCCCGTCATCCCCGAAAAACCTACTGCACTCCCTGTGCAGAAAGATAATGCAGAGGCTCAGTGTTAGAATATTGGAAATGGAGTTGATTCGTGTTATAACGGACTGGGACTTTGATCAATATTTATGAATACAAACAGCTCTCTGTGAACATATGATACCAGAGAGACCAAAGACTTTAATCAGTGATGAGAGTGTGAAAGATTTCCTAATTTCAAAAGTAAATAAAATCGAAATAAAAGTTTCATCGCAGTGCTTGTGGGAACAGGAGAATTAAGTCAATATTAACAAATATAATTGGATCTGCCACAAGGCATTAAAGTTAAATATTTCTGAAACTAACTTTTATATGACTCGTCTTTGCCAGTTGTAAGCTCAAACATATCAATATATTTTAAGTACATAAAGGGCCTACATAATATTGTTATATATTTGTATGTATACAGTATAACAATATACATATATGAGATTGTATATATGAGACTTTATTATATAAAACTGAGAAACAACAATAAACCGTCAAACTGGTGATATGTTGTGGTCTTGAAGAAGTGATTTAACTTAATGTACTGTACGTAGTTTAGTTTTTCAATGGATATTATACAAAATTCCAGCTTCAGTCTGGAATTAAGCCCTGCCTGGAAAAGTCTGAACCACACACAAGAAGATGTACGTTTCAAATAATGAAATGGATGAACATTTCCTTAAATAAAAGCAGACATTCTTAAGCTTCAGCCTGACATTCAATATTTCACACTGTGTAACGAGAAGGATGAACCAAAGCGTGACATTAGGTATCAGTATTAAAATACTTCTTTGTGGTCATGTTCTCTCCATAAATATATTTTTGAACTGTTCCACCCAATAAGACGTTCTGCTGCATCACTCTGCTGTGATGCCAAGAAGAACTCCCCCCCTCCCTACCTTAGTCAAACTATAAGATGAATGCGTTTTTGACATTTTGATTGTGCTTTTGAGTTACACCGTTTACGCTGCTGTGAGGATGATGAAGCAGCAAAATCTGGAGGAGTGACTGGAAACTGTGGAGCAGCATTGTTATGAATCAGATCCAGGAAGCTGAGTCAGCAGTAAAACACACTCCCCCTTTATAAACACACTGATTCAGTGACAATCACATCAAAGTATATCATCATTTCATTACAGACACTAGATACGCCACTTTTAAATCACAACCATTGACAGTTTGTGGCTTTGTTTCTTCCGTACTGTTGCACTCATGAGACCCGTAATCTGCATTGATTTTGGAAACTCTACAACTGTGCTGAGGACGGTAATTTAGCTTCTAGCAGATCATAAAGTCACAGCTACACTTTATATAAAGAGACAGGACAGCTATTACAAATGTCAACTCCTACTCTACATTTCTCAGCTTGGTGTGAAAATCCTCAGCACATCCAGTGTGGTTACAGCTGCAGGCAGCGATAACGGGTCCTAACACATCCATGTGAGTCGGGGGTACTGGTGGGACATCCATGGTTGTTGCTGTGCATCTCTCTGATGGGCGAACATTGCAAGTAAACATAAGTTCCTGTATGGAGTGTGATGCACTGGAAAATACACACGGAATCTTGTTCGCCTCCTTTGTATGCTATGTGACGCTTGAGAACACAATGTTTCTCTGTGTTGACAACACAAATTACTTTCTTTGTCTGCTTCAACAACATAACGTCAATCTGATGATGTTTCTCACATTAGGCTGACTTCCTGCTGCCAGTATGTGTTGCTATGAAAAGACAATAAGATTTATAGACGATGAACTTGATCTAATGGACCAATCAAATGATAGGATTTCAATGGCCCAATCAAATTGCTCAATCTAACTGGCCAATCAAATCATTACCATAACACCCTGTTCCTCTAAATCCCAGATATCTTCCCCAGTTTAAGCTTGTATCCACTGACACCCTGTGGGTTTTTGAGATTGATTCTAACATTTTACTTTTCAAATAAAGGCATTCTTTCAAAGGAAATGTTGAGACCTCTGACCTAAGACTCCTGGCTGCTTGTGCTTGACTCTGGAACAGACCCTTTTAAGAGAAGCCAAATCAAACCCTATTTGCTTTCTTTGTCTCACTTTGTAGCTTATTATTTCTCATGTGTTATATATTATCTCTGTTTAAAGTGAAATGTTGTAATTGCTCCTCACCTGAATCTCTGTCTGGGCGTCTGCCTCTCTGGACTCTTACACAGATGGCCGATGTAGTAGAGTGGGAAGAAGAGGGAGTTCCAGCTGGTGGCGAACCAGGTGAGGGTGAAGGGGGCGTCAAACTGCTTAAAGGTCAGCTTGGCCAGCTGGGTGGAGCCTGCCCAGGAGCAGCATACACACATCACCATGGCGACTCCCCACAGGGCCTTGCTCACCTGTACGGTTGTTACTCTGATGCAGCAGTGCAGCTTCCGTTTGCTGGAGCTCGACTCTGCTCCGGCCACAACGCCCGCGGCCTGTGTGTCTGTGGGGCCCACCACACTGTCCCTGATGTGGTCTTCTCCTAAAAGACGGACACATGCATGTTAGTGTTACAGATAAACACTGATAACTAAAACAAATCTAAATCAGGGTGATTTATTTCTGTATTTCTTCAGCAGAGGGTAATCCTTTAGGGTTATCAAAATAACCATTTTCAAACCCATTTCAACAAAAAAAATATTATTAATTATCAATGTATTTATTATATTTCTTCCAAGTTGTCATGTTTAAAATATGGTTTAGCTTTGTACTGTACATGTACTGTACATGTGTAGGAATTACTTGAATATCTCTTGCAGTAAATATGGTCTGAGAGCTTTTACAGCATTTTCTTCTCTGTGAATGACTTCAGGTCACCCATGTCTTGCTGCCTTTTTCTGGCTAAAAATAGCTTCTTTCACAGTTTAATTGAACTTGAAGGTAATCAATCAGACATCTGAGTAAAAAATGTGGTTATCAAGTGTGACAGGCTGCAGCCAAACAGAGGACAAAAGAGGGCAGATCTGACATCCAATCCAAGACGACCTCTTCTCTACCTCGTGAGTTACAATGACGTGTGTGTGTGTGTGTGTGTGTGTGTGTGTGTGTGTGTGTGTGTGTGTGTGTGTGTGTGTGTGTGTGTGTGTGTGTGTGTGTGTGTGTGTGTGTGTTTGCCAGAGCACGCACCGCCTAACTTGGCTATTGCTCCTGTCAGAACCTGATAGCTCCCATACTTCTTTAATAATTGTGTGAATTGAAGCAAATAACTGATGTGCTGTTTTCTGTCCAACTCACCCACACCCACCATGCTCTAAAGATGGTTCACTTACCAAGGTCATGTTGTTACCTTGAGTGATTGAACATACTTATGGATGCATGCCTTATTTTCTCCTTTAAACAATTCAGTTTAAGCTGTGTTAACTAGTGTGCAGAAGCATAAAAGCTATAAAGCTCAATGCAACAATAGATACATCCTTCGTTCAGCAGATCTGTATGCAGACAGCCTACCCGAGACTATCCAACTCTCAGTGATATTTAGTATTGATCAAATGAACATAACTTGGCAACAACAAAGATCCCTGACACTATTATCAGTAGCCTCAATAAATCATTTTATTTGAGCCTAACAAACCCTACAGCTCTACTGTCGCCACTGAAAACAAAACTATGAGGCGACACATTCACAATCAGGGCAGAGAGGGGACAGCACAGCCAACAAAAAGCCAGACATACATTCTGTTTCATAACGGTTATTTAACATGGACCATGTATCCTGCCCTTCAACAAGTTAAAATGGAGGGATCTCCCTAATGGTGCTTTCAGGGGTAATGATGTGCCGCAGGGAGCCTTTTGCCTTTTTATCGGCACTGTACAGCTGCCTGGAATAAAAAATGCGCTTCAAAAAGCCATTGCCGGACAAGCATAATTCTATCTAAAGTAGGGGTTACACTGTGAAAAATAAGACATTAAACTTGTATTATTTCACTTATCCTGTGTCAGCTTATTGCCATAAACCTGGCACTGATTGCACTGTCTGCCTTTATGTTAATGTGATCTGTGAAGTCAAAGGGACACTTATTGTTTTATATGAAGGTTTGCTACGTATTTTGTTAAATAGCTTTATTCACGGGCATTCATCACGCCCAATGAGAGACTCATTCTTCCTGGAGATGCCTCTGACCTTGCCAGGTGGTCCTATTAAATCACAGATTAACATCCCTGATGACTATCACCCCCCATGCTAATGCCCCGGCTTCCCCTGGCTCTCTGTGATGCAATTAAGATGAAATGATGCTTCACTATTTGGGCATGTTGAAAAATGCTTTCTACTCCTGAAAAAAGTAATTGACAGTTCCGAGACAGATGTGGCATCAATGAAAGAGGATTCAAGATCATTGTCTGTTCCTGCAACAAAATGGTGAATCAGCAAAGACAAAAAGAAAAGAGACAGACGCATGAGGGGTGTCTGTCAAAGTCTTGGGTACAAGGGTGAGAGTTAAGTTTCTCTATTCTGAGCCTCAAAGCCTCCATGTCTTTCTGAAGGTCATGTCTTGATCACGCTGCCCAGTCTGTCCTTCCTGGGCCACCGTCCCACATCCTGTGGCCCTGGCCCACTGCTGCTTACTGCAGCACAGTTTAATCTTCCAAATGCAGTGATGGGCCAAGCCAATCAGCTCATAGAGAAGCGCTGAGGCCCAGCTAAGCATTTCCAGCTCTGGCATATGTGAAAACACTTTGTGTTATGACAACATTAAGCGTTTATTATTCCGCTCACACTCTGCAATTAGGCTGTTAGCATGAAACTCATAATACATTCTCTCTTTTATTAAATGAAACACATTTGTATAAATTATTAATCAAAGCTTCTATTATCTATGCAGAGGCATCAATATATATACATTTGTTATCCACTGACGTGCTGACTCAGGGATTTGAAGCCAACATAGTACCTCCTTGAGCCTGACGGTGACTAATGATACTGGGTCAACCTTCACTGCTAGTGATGAACAATATGGAGCACCACTGAACTCATCAGTGAGAGAGCTGGGTCAGTAGAGTGGCTGACTGAGATTTGAAGGCTCCTTTACTAATGTCACTTGAAGCCATACCATGACTAAAAGAGTCTCCTTATGTAATTGGTAAATGATTCACTGAAAGCTCTTTACTTTATCAGTTCCTCATCAAATGTCATCTGTCAAGGTCAGACATAGCTGCGACGAAAGGCCTGCATTGCAATCTTTGGTTTGATTAGATGCAGTTTTTAAAATATCTTAAAAATTAAATTCAATACTAAAACAGATTTAGATTTGGTTTTGTTTGAGATTACTTTACAAGTGAAAACATCTAAACGTATTCACCAAAGTGTATGTCCAGTTGTGCTTAACTGAAGCTAACATGCATCTGTGAAATCACTTCAGACAGGAAGAAAGTGTGTGGAGTCCTTGTAGGAGCTGCTTTGGATCCACTCTGACAGCCGTCTTCTTCTTAAATGCATTCATCCCAACCAACCACTCAGCCGTACTGATGCTTGGAACACCATGGAATTTAATATGCACAGGTAAAAGTGGACTCAAGAGTAAAAAGATTTCGCTACCAAGGTAAAAAGGACTTATTTATGCTTTTGGTGCCAAATGCCCGAATGGAGATTGTAAAAAGGGCTAAAATGAAGCCATTCTACCTCTAAGCCAGATTTCCTAGCCTTTGCCCATGGCCTTGTTTCTCTCATGTAGGAGACTAGACAATTCAGCAGAAAACCAAGGATTGTCTAAAGATAAAAATAAGACCATGCAGTTCCAACTTCAGCACACAGATTGATTTTAACCCAATCAAAACCAAACAGATCAAAACCCTGCTCCACAAAATGTTTTGTGTCTCTTTTCATTATGAATGCTTTCAAATCCAAAATATAATAATTATTAGAAGCAGTTTTCTTTAGATGTCAATCTTTTTATTGACCCGGTTAGGTAGTTTTGTTTTATGACTTGGTTACAAAACTTACCCTTTAAAATAATTTTTTAGATTGGACTTTCAATTCCAATTGGTTTTATCAGGGCGGTGGTGGCAGTCCATATGGACTTGGCTTGGCAACTTGAAGGTCACCAGTTCAAGTCCCGGAAAGACTAAGTGCTACCGAGGTGTCCCTGAGCAAGGCACTGTTCCCTACACTGCGCTGTACATAATTGCAGCCCACTGGTCCTAACACTAGGATGGGTCAAATGCAGAGAAACAGTTTTCTCAACCCCGCTTTGTATTTATCACAGCAAAGTGTTCAATTCATACTTAATCAACAATATAGGGGAAAAATCGCCCCTGCATCTCTGTGAAAATCTGTTGACAAATCAGTCTCTTCACCACTGTTGGCACAGTAGATCAATCTCGACCTTATATGCTCCTTTGTCTGTCTATAGTGTGTTAGTTCACTGAGCACATGGGGAGAGTAGTAATTACACATCCCACTTCCAGAAGGTGATGTAGCACTCCTATTGGTGTTGAGATTTATCTGGCCGGTTTTCCAGTTTCTCTCCCACCACAGGCCATGCCTCCCCACCAGCGCTTTTCCCACTTCCGCTCTCCTCCCTCCCCATGCAGACTCTGCAGTGCAGATCTCTCCTGCTGATAGCTGCAAATCCCAAATGTGCCAGCATAGCTCTGCCTGGCTGCCTGCTCTCCCACGTCACAGAAGAGAGGCCCAGAAAGCCCAGCTATGGCTTCCAGAACCACCACCACCACTCACTCTCTTTGCTGACCCGATACTCACACAACAAGAAACCACATCCCAGCAGGCTACAACAGGCTGGCGTTAGTTCAGCCGGGTGGCCGCACAGCTGTCGAGAGTCTTCACCAGGACCTGGTGTTGGAGACGCTGAGGTAAGAGAGGTTTGTCTGTTTGTCTGTTTGGCGACACCTCTGTGGGAGAGAGAGAGGTCTGCAGCGCTCTGCCTCAGTGAATCAGAAAGGTAAACAGATCAATCACCGATACACACTTCAGAGAAACTCTTCTCCTGCCTCATGGGTCTCTGCTTTGTGATGAATATGAATTGACTGGTAATTCTGTCATTCTCATAATCAATTGTTATTCCATGCTTATTTATAACATCAAACATAAGTTTATGTCTGGGTGTAAGACATTAACTCTTAATTCTAATGGCACCTACACAAATGTGAAGGTTTGTGACGCCAGCGACGTACACAAAGGGCATCAACTCTAAGGGGGGGAATAAATCCCCGGTTGATCCCTAGGAACACTTCAAACTCAACCTTTATTTAGACTTTTGCTACAGTACACCTCGGTTCAGTTTAGTGACTGCATCTGTCACTAAATGTCACTAAATCTGTGAAGTCTACTGAGACAAATGTAACATTTGTGATATTGGGCTATATAAATAAACATTGATTGATTGATTGATCTTGCACAGTTACAACTATATCATAGTGACAAAAATAGGTCCACACACACACAAACTCACTCATTTACATGGTTGAAAATAACAGTGTCTCTGTTGCGGCTGATACAAATGCGAAATGTTGGTTAATCTTCAGCTT